AGCAAAAATGGAGCAGTTGATGGTCTTGCAGTAGTCAAGAGTTTACTGTGATAGTATATCTGACAGGTGGTGTCTCCCAGTCAATATGGGCTGTAATACCTAATTGTAGAACTGTATTAGGAAAGTGAGGAAGCAGAGAAGCTTTTGCATTAAAATAAATGACACGTAATTAAATATAGTGCTGTCCATATCTTGATCACAAAAAGAAATAAAGGAGACCACAGGCAGTACCCCTTCAGTAGGTAACATCTGGGATTTGGGTTTGTGTTTTTGAATTTTGGCATGAACCAGTGAAATATTGGAGGGGGAGGGAATTTTAGAGAAATCATGTTATGATGCCTTAAACAATGGGGCAAGTGTGTGGAAAGAGGCTAATCTTAGGACTAGTCAGTACGTTGGTATTTCAAAGGACCCTTATTAATAAGCTAATCTTGCTGTAAGCTTAACATTCTGTAGAAGGACTAAGAAAACTTCAGTACACCAACACTGAAGTTCAGAAAGGCAACTCATGTTGCCCTTCATGTTAGTGCAATGCCTACAAAGATACTGCCCCTAAATTTCATAGAACTCTTGTTGATCATGATGCCTGCCTCCCCGCCAACCCTCCGTGACAGCCTTTAGCACATAGGTGATCTGGTAATATCATTGACTGCAGTTCCCAGCTGTCTGCGGACATCAGATTGGTTTTGTTTCAGACTTCCGTCTTGCCTTAGAATCTTACGCATGTTGCTTCTATACATTGCTTAGTCTGCTGTGGTCCTGACCTTTGAAGATGACACCTAAATGCTATACTTAGAGAATTCTCCTCCAAAATAACAACAAAAGGTGTGAAGGATGCCAAATAAAAAGCACATAATTCCAAACTGAAGAAGTGCAAAGTCTTCAAATAGAGCCTACTGAAAGAAACAGCCATTGAGACCATAGGTGTACTCCCAAGCAAAAAGTAGAAGCAAATAAATAAAAAAATCCAATGAGAATGTGAACAGGAAATGTGAACAAAGTAGGTAAAAACTTTGAGTGGAAACCTGAGTAACTCTTCAGCAAACTTCATAGCTTCACCAAAGGCTTATGAACAATGAGAATGCCTCTACATCTTAAGCAGATCCCAAGGAGTGCTTAGGCTGATTAAGCTTTAAGGGAGTAATTTAGACAGCTGAAGGTATTGAATAATATTTTGTTATATGGTAATGGCTAGGACATGAGCAAGAACAGTGCTCTACAGTACAAGTAATAACACGTGGTCACTTAAAGTGGGTTAATTATTGATGGCTAATCAATGTCAGGGAAGTTGGCAACAGAATCTTTTGAAAAAAGAAAATTAGTTTTTTTCAAACAGTAAGAAGTACTTGCAACATAACATAATGGTGAAAAAGAACATATGACCAAAGTGCACTTGCAGAAGTCTTGAAAAAAGCAGGCTGCTGGGAAGGTTTGAAGTGCACTCATGAAGCAGCAGCTAGTTAAGGAAGGGAAGGTAAAGCGCGAATACACGATCTCATTCAGTGCTACATTATGGAAATGGCTGGTGTGTTGAATGCTCTTTGAAAGCATAAGTGCTCAGTCTGGAGATCAAAGTGGAGCAAGAAGTCTTGTTGAGAGTGGTGATTCAAGTAACAAGTGAATTTCCTGGAACTGGCTCTATCCTTCACTGTAGGTGAAAGCAGCTCTGTGGGCCCTCCAAGGAGGCACCTCTGTAGTGATTGCAAATGGAACCCACCCAAAGATTTCGGGTCATGTCATCACAGATATTGTGGAAGGGAAAAAAGTTGGAACATTTTTTTCAGAGGTGAAACCTGCAGGTGAGTACAGAGGTAATGTGTACCTTGAGAGTTGTAGCGATTTCCCAAAAGGTTAGAGTTGAAATTTGGCTAGACCTGTACAATAACTGGGAAAACACGCTGCTTGAAAAATGGATTTTGAAAGGTATTTTCTAAAGTAGGAATAGAAAATGTTGAATCCTCTGCTGTGGTTCTGTCCATCTGATAAATTGCCACATCAGACTTCCATTTGAAGAATGCAATGAGTAGAATTTTTACGCTTTTTAGTCTTAGGGGTTATCATCTAGTATTGAAGATTTCAGTGTGAAAATGTGGACATAGAATGTGCTGCTGAACTAAGATAGTCTTTAGTTTTATTTCTTATCACAAATTCGTTTTACTACTCAGTCTTCTGGTATGGTAGGTGGGAATGTTTTCCTGCTGCTGCGTTGCTGGGATAGTGTAACATTTGCTGGAGAAAGTCAGACCGAAGATCTGTGACCATAGCAGAACAGGACAATTATGGAGGATACTTTTGACTTGCACTTTGTCAAGCGAATTTCTTTGTGTATAATAATCCACAATCGATTTCTTGTATGAATTTGTTGAATAATCCTTTGAACCTGTGTAAAGACTTAGCATCCACAGGGTTCTCTTTGTCACGATAGTCAAGAGCCTTAACTAGATACTGTGTGTAAACTCTGGAGCTAGAGCTATGTGAAGAACTGCTTGCTTTAATTTGGGTCTGGAGGGGTGGGGAAGGTTTTGAATTTTCTTCCCGATAGCTTCATTTGATGCCCCTACTGCTTGAAGAAAGTCTTTCCACTCATCATCCCTCTTCCACATGAAAGAAATTGGGTCTTAGACATTTTGTACCGAAGCTGTTCCAAAAACTTGGTCATCCCCGTTTCTTTTGTTCAAAACTGTTTTAATTCTATTGTTGCCTTTTTGAGATGGGCAAAAGTAAAAATTTCACTTAGCGTTCAAGATGCAAATGAAGCTTTAATTTATGAGATGGCAGGACTAACTGAGTTCTGATAAAATTGATGTTATATTTTCCAGGCCTTTTCCAATAATTCCAAACATTTAATTTGCTTTTTGATGTTGATGTTCACTGAGATGATGTTTTCATAGTATTATTTGTTACAATACTAAGGTTTGATTTTTCCTTTTCCCCTCTACATTGCTTCATGTTTATCTGGTTTGAATTACGCTTGCTGTTTTGTGACCTAACGCCTTGGCTGCAGAAGAAATCACAGAATTGCAGAATGGATGAGGTTGGAAGGGACAGTCTGAGAGATGACAGGGTCATCTCGTCTTACCCCCTGTTCAAGCAGGTTGACCAGGACTGTGTTGAGACAGCTTTTGAATATCACCAAGAATGGAGACTTTACAACCTCCCTGGACAACCTGTGCCAGTGCTCGAGCATCATCGCAGTGCAAAAGTGCTTCCTGATAGGAGGCACCTCCTGTGTTTCAGTTTGTGTCCGTTGCCTCTTGTCCTGTCAGTGAGCACCACTGAAAAGAACTGGTCTCCATCTTCTTTACACCCTCCCCTCAGGTATTTGTACGTACTGAGGAGATTCCCCCCCTGAGCCTTCCTCTCCAGGCTAAACAGTCCCAGCTCTTTCAGCCTTTCCTCATGTAAGATAGGCTCCAGTCCCTTCATCATCTTTGCAGCCCTTTGTCGGACTCTTTCCACAGTATCCACATCTCTCTTGTACTGGGGAGCCCAGAACTGGGCACAGTACTCCAGGTATGGCCTCACCAGTGGATTATTATACACAAAGAAATTCGCTTGGCTTAAAGCCCAAGTCAAATTGCTTTGGCAATTTTCAGTCAGACCCTTATTAAATAGAAGTTGGGTCATATTTATCACCTTCAGCTCATCTGGTTTAGAGGCAGTTTCAGGAGAGTTAAAAATCACAACTTAATTTATCCATGAGCTACTTGCGAACTCTTTGGGGAAGCGTTACCTGAACCTGGTGAATTGTTTTGAAATAGAAACAGAAGTAACCTGCTGCATATCATTTCAGTTTGAGACAGATTCTTTGAGGCGCTGACAGGGAAAAAACAAAAGGAAAAGAAAAAAACCCCACCTTCCTTCTATAGGATATATTCTAAAATGCCTACAGGGAGAGACAGAGGGAAAGCAATTTTTCTGATGGCTGTTACTCAGACTGGGTTTTGGCTTCCATGATTGTTTGTACATTCCCATGCTATTTTGTAATCCTTTCTGATTTCCTCAGTTGGGTAATTTTCAGAGTTTGCTTCCTTTCCTTCAGTAGCCTGCCGTGCCCTGAGACTTAGCTATCCTGGTGTCCTTTTGCCCTTTGTCAAGTCTTCCTGATACATGGTGCACACTTGCAGAATGGTCACCTTACAGAATCTCTGCGCTGACTCTTTACGTTCAGGGACTATAGCAGTATTTTTGTGTCAGGTACAGATTTTCCTGGGTTTGCATACAACCGATTTCTTGAATATGTTTGTTTAAGACTCTGTACCTGCTTTCCTGCTTTGAGCAAAGAATCGGAAGGTGGAAGGGCTGATGCTCACTTCCACATGGGCTGTTACTTTGTCTGCATGGCATATTTTTGGTTTTCTTGCAGGTCCTACAGTAGAGCAGCAGGGTGAAATGGCTCGAGCTGGTGGCAGGACCCTGGCGGCTCTACAGCCTGAGCAGGTGACAGAACAATATGACCTCACTTGTTAAGCTTGTGAACGTGTGGCAAGTTTTACAGCATGGATTTATAACACAAGATTATGTCCCCCTTGGGACAAGAATCTGTTCTTTGTGTGCCAGATCTATTATTTGGATTGTAGCATGCTTAAGGAGATGAGAAAAGCAGAAAGATAATGTACCTTGGGGATGAAATAATACATACTTTCACGTGGGGTTCATAAAAAAATTTAATAGCGTAAAATATCGCACAGAAACGAATTGTGATCAGAGCTGCTGAAGAATTGACTGGTTAACTTGCTCCATTCACCCCTGTGTGTAATGCATGCAAAAGAGGAGCTGTAGACAATCAATTACTGCTCTGCAGCTGGATAGCTAAAACGTGGCATCTGTTGTGAAGAAGACAAGGTGGTCTTAAAGGAAGAACATTATGGGTTTGGTGAAGAAGACTGGGCATGGGAAACAAGGTAATAAAAAGCAAAGTAAAGGCTGAAGCAGTGTTCAGCCTCATTTTTCAATGTGCTGCAGGCTGGAAAAATCAGCTGGCCCCACGTATTTGGGGAGTCAAGACAGTGAGAGGCTGTGGTCAACGTAAATGGATCGAAGGGGGCCAGATGTCAAATAGCATGGATTTTGTGTAACAAGTCAGTTCAGAAACTGTTTTCTCTTACAGAGAGCGGAGATTATTTATCGTCTTGCTGACTTACTAACTGACCAGAGAGAAGAAATTCTCTTGGCAAACAAAAAGGACCTAGAAGAGGCTGAAAACAAAGGTAGTATTTCAAGTCCTTCCATGGTAATCCTGTTGTCTTGAACCTCTCTGGGCCTCGAAGGAAACAAGCAGAACTAGAATCTTCTGTCACCTGGGTTTGGGTAGTATGGCCGTCACAAATTAGTGAACCCAGGACCACAAGAGTTTGGCGGTGTAAACAGCTGCAGCTTCCTTAATTACATAAAACAGATGCCTTCATCAGAAGATACCAAGGCCTTGCAAAACACCAAGCAGTGTATTGTAAAATAAATAAATAAACAAAATATTAGTGCTCCATTTTGCCAAAGAAGGCTCACTTTAGAAATGGAATATAACAAACATCATGTTTGTTACTGTCATGCATACAGTGAATATTTTCTGGGCTGGTTAAGATAATGTTTGTCCCCTGAGAGGAAGGCTGTCATCTCTATACTTAAATTGATGCTCTCCAAAAAGAACCGTGTCACCTTCTGATTGAGGAAGGTTCTCTCTAGATGGCTTGGGTTAAACCCACTGATGCATTCATTGAGAAGTTGGGATTGGGATGTGTACATATAGGGATAGCAAATGCACGAAAATGACACATCGTGGATTGTAATACTTTGTGGAAGATGCCAGGGAACCATTTTTTACTGACCAGAGTACTTGAGGGGACATTGCTGGGTTAACTTACTGTCTGAACATGTTCAGACTAGAAAATTCAGGCAGTTCTTGCCCAGTCTGAACAGAAATGCTGTGCATGCATCTTCTGTGGGATTTCTGTCTGTAAAATAGAAAGATGAAATTACTGCCCAAACCTTGCAGAAATACTGCAAGGGTAGGAATTCGGAAGAAATTCAGACATATAGCAGTACTTGAAATAGGACAAAGCTTATCTTTGTGGATGTTGATGTCGCTTCATGTACAAATCACTTAAACTGCATTAAGTGAAAATGTGGTGCTGGGTGACATCGTTGTCACCTTTGAGTGGTCTTATTGTGGCTACCGGACTTAATGCTGTGCATTTTTCATCTCAGGTAGGTTTTTTGCTAGGCCGTGGGAAATACCTGAATTTTGCTGAGGTTCACCACTTGTTTAAGTCACTTTTGCTTCGGCCTAGGCAGACCAATCTATCTCCAGCACAACTTTTTCTTTCTTTTAGGGAGATTGGCACTTCCTTTGTTGAAACGTCTAAGTCTGTCTACATCAAAGCTGAACAGCTTGGCTATTGGTCTGCGTCAAATTGCAGCATCCTCGCAGGACAGCGTCGGCCGTGTAATTCGGCGAACACGAATAGCAAAAGACCTGGATTTGGAGCAGGTGACAGTGCCTATTGGCGTCCTTCTTGTGATCTTTGAGTCCCGTCCTGACTGTCTTCCACAGGTATGTAAGGAGGGCAGGTTACACTGTTGGGAATTCTTTGATGACAACAGAAAGGGTATTTCTGTTGGTGAGCAATTGTGAGGGTGCAAGAAGTCTTGCCTCAAAGAACTCTTGCTTGGCTTCCAAAATTGATTTGGCATCCCTGTTTTTCCTGCAGGGATATTCTCAGTGCTTCTGCAGTGTTCAGAGTTATTCAGGCGTGTTTTGGGGGGGGGGTTGGTTGGTTGGTTTGTTTCAGACCAGACATATAGAAGGAGTTATCTTACATTCAGATGGTGCAGTTCCTGCCTGTGCCTACCTCAGAGCTTGGGAGGCTCCTATCAATGAGCACTTGTTTTATCAAAGTCCACACTGCATACAGCTGAACTGCAGGCTGGGATTAAACAGGAACTGTTTAATACAGATGCTAGTAATTAACTGTAACTGTTAGGAATACATGATTAAAAAAAAAAAGGCAAAAAATAAAGAAAAGCTGAGCACAGAAGTTGCAGGCTTTGAGTGGTCTGTCCTGTACTGATACTGTTTGTGTGCAGTGAGGCAGAATGATAGCTTTTACTCAGTCGGAGTGAGATGGGTGTGAGGAATAATGGTGTTCTAAGTTCTTAAGTACTGAAGTTTCTGGAAAGGCTAGTGAAAATCTCAAATAGTGTACTGTAAGTGAATGTAATTTATCTTGTGCCAGGAGTAAGGCAGGCATCTTAAAGACAAATACCTTCATCTGCAGCACTGTGTGCGAGTATTGCTGTGAGTAAGTGCTGTTATAATGCGTGAAAATATGGGAGCAGAACTAAGGTTGCAGAGGCAACCTTCATCTTATTTTCTAACTCCCATCTACTTCACTGAGCAACTGTACTAGATTTTAAAAAGAAAACAAGAAAACCTTCATTATCAGCACTATTTCCCACAATTAACATTAGGTGTCTAGGAAGATTGATTGAGGAGTTCTCTAACATATGAGCAGGTGTTTGAGGAGAAAGTGATGGGTACAGGCACTTAAAAGGAAGTGAGACTCAACCAGCTTGGTACTTAGGGCCTGAATTTTGTCAGTGGTCCCCATTTCATACTGAAAGGGAGTACGCTCTGGGCAAGGTTCCCATGAAATAAAAAGGTATTAGTCTCCCTTGTCTACCATTATTAGCTCCTTGCTGCTAGCTCTGTTCCTCATAGAGAATGAGTATGTTTCCATCTCGAATTCTATTCTGTCTCCCTGGTTTTCAACCCTGGTCTCTTGCATAGCTGATGTCTCCCTCGTTCCCCTCCTCTTTATCTTTCCTTAAAACTTAGGCCAAACTGACTCTTGCTGGCTTTTTTCCCCTCTCTTTTTGCAGACTTGGAATAGCTTGTCTTGGTAGTTAGTTGCATTTCTTCCTGCCAGCCTCCTGTCCTTGTACTCACATCAGGTTCTCTGATGCAACCTCAGAGGATCATCTTTGATACCTCTGTGTTTGAATTGCATGGTTTCTGTCCCACACTGTAGCTGATAGTAGGATGGGCTCTGAGTGCAGAGGAGCAGTTCCCTCATCTTTAGTTTCTATTAGTGAATCTCATGCTTATTTGGGTAAGCAATTCAGGGGAAGTTTGACTTTGCGTGCTCGATTTGCTACCTGGACATAGCTTACACAGAGTTAGGTCAGTACTCAAAGTTCAGTCTTGAGTTGCAGTAAAGGTGAAACAATTGCAGATTACCAGTTAAGATTTAATAAGCTTCTAATGCGCATATACAAATAGCATGTTTGCCTCTAGTGTAAGGCCAAATTGTCGCTATCTTTCACAGACTACTTCCATAGATTACACCAAATCCACTTGTTGCTCTGAAGTATACTCATGCTCTACTATTATTTGACGGGACTGAACTGTTTTGAAACCCCTTACCTTCTATTCTCCTTTTAATCACGAAAGTTTTTAATTTTTGTGTCTTAACTCTTGGTTATTTTTTCTTTTCATTTTTTCAAACCAGTTCATAACCTTTCCTTTAACCTCATGCCTGCAGAGCAGAATTTTTTATTTAAATAAGCTTATTTGTTAAGCTTTCTCTTGTGATACTGACCTTTGGAGAGGCAGATACAAGATACTTTCAAAATACAATCAGAATGCATCTTTTTCTGAAGTATTTCTTATTTTTCAATATTTCAATATTCTCTTCAAAAAATACATTTCAATATTCTTTTCAAATTGCTGACAGCAGGATGAGGTAGAATATCAAACATTGTGATTTTTGTTATCAGTTTGATATTAGAAGGGGAAAGGAAGTGATCTGAGGAGATGTATCTGATGGGCTTAACGTTTTTCGGTGTGAATCAGCATCGAAAATATGCCACTAAGCTAACTGCTTGTTTAGGTGTGAGCCTGGCTGATTCTGGCATCCACGTCTGAACAGCATACAATTGATATACTAATAAGTGCGGGTTTGGTGATGATACGTACAGATGATGATAATGATACATATGATTTTTCCCAGAAGGTAGTAATACCGTAAATTAACTTCAAATGCTTAATTCGTTTGTTCTAAAAGGTTCTGGAGAGGACATGATTTTGTTTTCTAAAGGAGCATATGCTATTTGTTTTTCAAATAGGTAGACAAATTGTGAATGCGATTGGGGTGAGGAAGACAAAAAGGAATGCAAAAATAAAATAAGTCTGGGAACAGAGCTTTATCACATCGGACATATTCCTAGGTAGAAAAGTACAAAAAACTGAAACAAACAATAAAAAACCTACCACCACCCCTCTGTTAAAGAGGTTTTCATTTTAGTGGGGAAAACACCAATAAGAACTAGTGTCTGGAGATTGAACAAATTGAGTATATGTTTTCAACAGCAGAAACAATTCTTTATCTAACTTCCAAAAAGCGGTGGCTTCTTTAGAGCTTTTGGGTTGGTTTTGGCGGATTTGGTTTTGTTTGGTGTTTGTTTGTGGCTTTTTGGTTGGTTTGTTTGTTTGTTTTTTAAATATGGTCTAGTTGTGTTGCTGGACTCAAATGGGTGAAATCTGGCACCTTAAACTGAAAGGCAACAATATCAGTCAGTTTCTTCTGGTTATAAACATGAAAGCAAAGTGATAAAGGTGATGCTGGGCCTATTGTCCAGGTGTTTTTTCCCCTGTACACTTACAGCAACTGTTGTCTATTTATGACTTCTGGTTTAGACAGCATAATGAAAATGTTTCTCCTGCTCATAGGAAGAGCTCATTAGCCATTTTCTGCCAGAATGGTTAGGGACAAGAGTTCTTGCACCTAAAATTATTCTCCTTGCGGTGATTCCCCACGCAGCTACCCAATTCATGCCAGAGCCTGTGCCTAGGGTTTCCTCTGACTAGTCTGCTGCAGTCTCCCCCTGGCAATAGTACCCTGAAAACTCAAGTTTGTTCCTGAAACGCTAGCACGTTTCATTTCTGGAGTTAAATGTGCTGTTACTTGTAATGATTTTTTTGGCGTCATAAAATGAAAACTATAGATTAACATTAAAAATCCTGTTCTTAGTCTGGTTTTTCTGGGTGTTATTTCAGCAGAAGAGACAGATTACTTCTTTTTTTTTTTTAATAATTTTTTTCTGACAGGTGTCTGCTTTGGCCATAGCCAGTGGAAATGGCTTACTACTTAAAGGAGGGAAAGAAGCGGCACATAGCAATCAAATCCTTCATCATCTGACACAGGAAGCACTCTCCATTCATGGAGTCAAAGATGCGGTGCAACTAGTAAGTGCCTAGAATTAAATCAACATTTTCTTTGCTATGGTATGTATAAAAAGTATGGGCAGAACTTGAGAATTCAAACCATAGACTGTTTGTATTGCAACTACCACAGGTGAACACAAGAGAGGAAGTAGAAGATCTCTGCCGTTTGGATAAGCTGATAGATCTAATCATTCCACGTGGTTCATCACAGCTAGTCAGGGATATCCAGAAAGCTGCTAAGGGAATCCCAGTGATGGGACATAGCGAAGGGATCTGTCATGTGTATGTGGACACGGATGCCAGCGTTGAGAAGGTCACACGAATAAGTAAGCTGGGAGAGGATGACTTGAATCTCATGGGTGTAATTGAACTTTGTATTCAGAGTATGCGATATGGTTATGATAATTGATAATTCGTGCTGTTCAAAATCTTTGTCGTAAATGTTATGTAACCAATTATCTGCTCTTAAACCTCAGTCAGAGACTCAAAGTGTGAATATCCTGCTGCCTGTAATGCTCTGGAAACTCTCTTAATTCATCGAGACTTGCTGAGAACCCCGTTGTTTGATCAGATCATAGACATGTTGAGAGTAGAACAGGTTAGTCACTCATACTTTTGTTTTGTGGTTGGTGGTTTTGGTTTTTTTTTCCTAACGCTTTAGAAGCATTTGGTCTGGCTAGTATAGCCCTATTTAGTTTTATGATGGCATAACACTTAAGTTATCCATATGTCTCTTTACACACAAATGAACTTAGATTCTCTGCTTCTCTACACAACCCCAAGTTTTTTGGTAGAAATGATCTGAAAGCAGCTTCTTCAGGACAGCTATGTGGCATTATTGGGATACAAATACTTCCTTTTATATAGCAAAAATCATCTTCTGCCTTAGGGTTGTGTATATGCTTTTCTTTCTCTGCCCTTCCTAGTTCTGACTTAATTGCTGTTCACTTCCCAGACACAAAGCCTCCTCTTCTTGAATCTCTTCATTTAGCTTCTTACTCAAGTGAATTCTCTTTCTGTTTTTCTCCTTTATGTATCTGCTTCATCCGCATTTTTAAACCTTTTGTCTTGCATGCCCTTTATCCCTACCCATTTTCCCTCCTAGTAAGTCAAAGGAACAGTGAAAGGCCAGTATACTAATTAGTTGTCTTGACATGGGTAATGTTTTGTCAGTAAAGGTAGCAGAGATGCATCGGGAGAGAAATATCCATGAAGCGATGTGAATTGCACGTAAATCGAGGATTTTCACACAGCAGTATGTGTTTGGCAAATAGAGCCTACAGACAGTGATTAATGCAGGTAAAATAGGCCGTATGTTTTGATAATATTGAAATGGTCATAGTAAAAGAAGCTGATAGGTAGTCAGGAGCAAGTCCTCACTTCATGAGTTTTTTTCTTGTCTTGTTTGGTTGTTTCTTGGGAAGAGTAGAGTGAAGGTAGATCTCTGGATTTTGGATGGGAGGAATGTGAGCACTAGTGCATTTCCACTACCACCCACCCAACTCCTAATACAGTGGGGAGGATGTTACCTCTGTCTGATCTGACCTGACAAGAAGAAACATGCACATATTGGGCAGGATTATGCAATTAAAGTAATGTATAGTTGCACAAGAAAATGCCATTTTACAGATACCTTCTTAAAAGTCTTCAAATTTAAAATTTTGCAGACTTGTGCCTTATTTCCTATTTATGTTTGCCTTGTCAGAATTTCCTGTGTTTCATTTGCATGGGGATTCCTCTGCTGTATCAGTTCTAAATTCTCTCTCATTGTTTAGGTGTCTCGGCTGCTATGATTAAACTCAGAGGTTGATAATGTGTTAGATCTTCTTTATAACAAATGAAAAATATCTGTGTGAGTTTTCTTGTTTTGGACCCAGTAACTCCTTTCTGTCTGAAACACATGCTTCAGAGAGGGCTGTCGTCAGTTTACAAAACAAAAGGGTAAAAGCTGTTTGAGATCTTAAGTCTTTTGTAGGTGCAAACTTGGAAGCATTCCTGTAGTTATTCTCTGCACTGCAGTCGCTTTCTTAAAACAAGGGCTGGCTGCGGTATTTTAGCTGTTTTCCCTGTACTAGTGTTGTACTGTCCTCCTTCCTGGTGACTTTATAAGTGATGTGATTTCTTTCCAAGTGATTGCTTTAAATAATTTGAAATGAGTCCTGGACTAGGAGCATGTCATGGTAGGTAGCCAGCCTAGCATGTCAGCTATTGTACCTTCTGTTGGTTCACCAATCTGCTAAGTTTCCCGAAGCGCAGGCTTATTTTTCTTACACAGCATGCAGCAAACAATAGATTCACAAACGTTGTGGATTAACCCTAGTCAGCAGCTAAGCACCATGCAGCCACTCGCTCGCTCTCCCTTGCCCCAAGTGGGACAGGGGCATTGAATAAGAGGACCAAAAGCAAGGAACCTTGTGGGTTGAAATAAAGATAGTTTGATAAGGCAAAGGAAAGAGGAAGAAGGGAGGGAAGCAAAAAAAACCACACAAGTGAGACAAAGCTAATTACTTGCCATCTGCCACAAGTAGACCAATGGCCAGCCAGTCTCTGAGCAATGCCTACCTTCTTCAAAAACCCTCTCCCCTCAGTTTGTAGTGTTGCGCATGACGTTATATGGTATGGAGTATCTCTTTGGTCAGTTTGGGTCAGCTATTGTGGTTGTGTCCCCTTCCAGCTTCCTGCACACTCCCAACCTTCTTTCTAGGGGGACAGCGTTGTGCGGGGGGGACAGGGGTGGGGGGGGGCGGGGGGGGGAAGAGAAAGCATTGATGCTGTGCCATCTCTGATCAGCAGCGGCCAAAACATTGATGTGTTTTCAACACTGTTTTAGTCACAAGTCCAAAACATAGAACCATAGGTACTGCTATGAAGAAAATTAAGTCCATCCCACACAGAGTACAAGAAGCCACACTTTCACCTGGAAGGCATTGGTCTGGTCAGCAGCCCAAAATGTTTCTGGTATTGCAGGTGAAGATTCATGCTGGACCAAAGTTTGCATCTTACTTGACATTCAGCCCTTCAGAAGTGAAATCTCTCCGCACAGAATATGGGGACCTGGAGTGCTGCATTGAGGTGGTGGACAGTGTCCAAGAAGCTGTTGAACATATCCACAAGTATGGAAGTTCTCACACGGATGTTATCATCACAGAGAATGGTTAGTGATCAGTCTGCTTCCTTAAACTACTGGTTTGGTTTGACTGCCAATTCTTGGTGTTTGTGTAACTACTTACATTGCAGTAGTTGTTCTCTTGCGTCTGTAGTAGATATAACCAACTGGAGGGGCTACGAGCTAAATGTGCCTGTAGTCCTGTTTAGCTCAGAGAAAACACTTTGTGTGGCCCTTATTCCAGGATGTTAAGGAGTGTGCTTGAGCAATTGGCTGATGGCAAGTCAGCACGTGCTCTTGCCAGGCAAATGGCTTTGTGTTCCTGTATTGTGCAGACTTACCGCATCAGAGGACTTTGCAGGAACATCTCCTTAACCCTGGAGATGTCCTTAGGCCTCTGAAGGCTAATGAGGTGAGCTTCTGTAGTATCTCACTGGAGAGAATAGGGTTTGTAGGGAATATCAGACTTTATCCACTTTGTCTTCCCGTGTCATTTTTATATCTTGCAAACAAGGACCGCAAATGTTTTCCCCCTACTTCTCTTGGTCCTTTACTTCCCGCTTCTGCATCCCTCATATAAAAGCTGCATTTATCTCAATTCACAGTTTCTCACCTCTTTGTTGTGAATTGGTGCTCCTTTGTGCAGCTCTGTGCTGCTCCCATCCCTAGCACCCTTCCTGTGTGGAGTTTGAACACTGTGCCAGTTCAAAACCTAGCTAGACCTGTGCCCAGCCAAAGGTTGACTCTCAGATCAAGCCTGGAACTCCTGAGAATCAGCCGCAGTAAGGTCATGTTGATCTGCAGCTGATCGGTGTGTGAGTCAAGCAGGCTTCTGTTTCTGTACCTCCCGTTGAGCTTAAATGAGCATCACTAAAAGGCATGCATTTCATACCGTAACCCGCTGCCACGGGACCTGATGCGCTAGTGATTTGCCAGGTTGTGTACTGGAAATAGAGCTGATCTTTAATGTTCATCTTGCTGCTAAGGGCAACTGACCTACAGCTTATAGCCTTACAGGGAACAGAGTCTTCCAACTCCGCTTGAGCTTGCTTAGGTCTTGCACGTTCTGTGTTAAACTGGGTGAGTTAGCCAATTTCATGTGGCATTTCTGCATTGTATTTCCCAAGTATTACCTGCAATAGCAATTTAGTTTAGGATTTTTCATTATCTGGAAAAATTCCATGTTTGACATTAATGGAGAGCTGACTCTGTCTCAGTTTGACTGCAAAACGGTGTTTGGGGCAGCTGTCCTTTCTCCCCAGTCATACAACTATCCCTGTTTGCAGGTTCTAGACTGGATATATGTAGAATTAGACATCTTTTTGCTTTCTTCTAACCTTTGCAAGCTGCTTGTAACATTTGCAGCTGTCTCTACTTGATAAGCATACTGGGAAGAAGGTATAAATGAACATGTTTTAGGCCAGGCCGTTTAAATACTGTCTGATAAGGTTGCATGTGAAAGTGGTATTGTTGTATCTGTTCGCTGTATTACGTTGTGTTTATTGGGGTGCATGATCATTCTGTATGTACTGGATTTTATTTTTCTCTCTGCCTCTTTCCCAGAGAAAACAGCAGAGTTCTTCCTCCAGCATGTGGACAGCGCTTGTGTTTTCTGGAATGCCAGTACCCGATTCTCTGATGGCTATAGATTTGGACTTGGTAAGAGAGAAAATACTGCAGGGATGCGTCTGCAGGATTTGCTGTTGTGTGAGAAGTGTGGCAGTCTGAATCCTGGAAGATAGGATTAGTCTATGATCTTACTGCCTAATATAAGGTTTTCAGGAAAAGTACCGTAGGAAAAGTTGAAGCCTAGACGTTTCATCCATGTGGAATAGCAGATAGTTTAATATCTCTTTCCTGCCAGAACTAGTTAATACTGCTATACAGACTGTGTAGATTAATTTAGCAGTAGGGAGCAAAGATGTTTTGGATCCTTTGAAGCTCTCTTCAATCAGAATAGAGTAGGTTGCATGCATGTAGTGATAGAACAATGCAACGCTGGATCTGAAATTGGTGAACGGTTTTTCTTCTGTTCATTTTTTTACTGATGCTGTAAAGAATGCCATGCTTTGTTCTGGCTGGGCAGGCTAAGCTGCTGTCCAGTGTGCCAGCCCTGCAGTGTTGAGGAATCAAAGTCAGGAACCAAACTGAGTATCGGTTGCTTGAATAAACAGGTCCACCTACTGTGAATTGCACACGACAAAGGAAACATTCTTTCCAGAGGCAGAAACTTTGAAATCTCTGTAGCAAGCTATTACTGTGCCAGCAGGAGCATTCAGTGTTCCATGTGATTAAAAAATTCTAGTTAGGGTCTTGCAATATGTCCTCAAGTATGATAAGAAAAAGGACCTAAGATCACTGTCACAATCTTGACTAATATAGCTTGTTTTGAGGATTAAACCCTCAGGAAACAAGTCTAAGATCCATTACCCCTCTCTCTTGCATCTTTCTTTCTAAAAGTAACTCTGTAGCAGCTAGAAGTATAAACATTAAAACTTTTACTGTAATAGTTAAGCTCCTCTACTTTTTAAAGAAGGCAAACATAACTTCTGGCATTTGGAGAGGAGTAGAGAAAGGCAGGTCACTGAAAGGCAGGCAGCTGTTTTTACTTAAAGGTGCAAAACTGCTTAGTGTGAAGCGAACGTCTTCTGAGGATTAACTACCTTTATGCTGTGTATTTCCTGTAGGTGCTGAAGTGGGAATTAGTACTTCTCGTATCCATGCACGTGGACCAGTGGGAATTGAAGGACTCTTAACTACAAAGTGGTTGCTGAGGGGGGACAATCATGTTGTTTCTGACTTCTCAGAGCATGGGAGCATGAAGTATCTTCATGAGAGCCTTCCTCTTCCTCAGAGAAATACCAACTGAGAACATCAGGGCCAGGGGTAAAACCCAGGGATATAAATATTTCCTGAAGATGTTCAGGCTTCCAGGTGCTCGCTGGGAAGGAAGTTTTGTTTTTTATCTTCCAGAACATTGTTCTTGGTCACTGTGCAGTACAGTGAATACAAAATGATCCCATCTGTGAGATTTTTTTTCTTCCTCTGTTTCCTTAAATAGTATCTGCAAACTGGACCTCACTTTTCCCAGACACAGACTTCTTCAAAACATATAAGTAACAAGGCAAAAAAAAAGAATGCAGCAGACATTTAATTATCCCCGTCCTCCCTATAGCAAATATGCTTGGTGGTGGAGCATAACTTTTTTTTTTTTCATACATCTTTGTTTTATTCAAATATCTGTTCAGGAGAACAAACTTTATACGGTGGTTTGTTTTTGGTTTTGTTTGGTTTTTTTTACTCTCTCTCTTCAGTCTTCTGATGATGGCAGCTCTTGAAAGCCGGAAAGCTTTACACTTCCTTTGTATTTGATCACTCCTGTAATAAGGGGATAGATGTTCCAAATGCATTGTAAGTTTTTGACCAAGAAACCTTTTATATCTAATTTCTTTGTATTGTTGACTGTTGTAGATAAATAACACAACTGTCCACTATGTGAATTTTGTTACTTAGATAAAACCAAAGAAAACTTTGGTACAAATAAAACTTAACGCTGCCCTTTGTGCACGGCAGGGAGGGGGTTCAGCCGTGCGCCCTCGGGCGCGATGCTCAGCGCAGCCTTCCCCTCCCGTCCCGTCCCTCGATGGCGGGCGGGCACAACGGGCG